TGTTTTAGAGAGAAATGTTATACGGACAACCCATAATTAATGAAGGAAACTTACTGTCCTTGTTAAACAACAGTATGGATGAGCCCAGAGTCTAGGCACCAATATTCCCTTCCTGCTGATTATCTCTATGGTACAGGCAATGGTTGAAAGAACAAGGAGTACAGGAGGGCTTGCAGATTGACTGGGGTAACTGAAAGGAAGATGTGTCTAGTGCAGACATTTTGGCCATTTTAAGTGCACCAATCTCTGCTTCATAAAGTTCAATTTATAAATAATTTAGGAGAGAGAGTTGAAGTGTCACAAGGAATTACATCTCAAAGGGTTATGTACTGTGAAAACCATTATGCATTAAATATATGCAGTAGGAGTTTATTGTGGGTTGTTGTGCTCAATAAGGAAAAGTAGGCTTTCCACCTGCCTTCCAGGGACATAAGAATTGCATCTGGAAATGTATGCAGCAATACTTTTCTTTTTATGAAGTGTTACTAGTGTAAAATTGGCTATACACAGATGAGAAGGTAGTTGATGTAGTGGCTAAAAATGTGGGCTGTGAGCCAGGAAGTTCTCAATTAAAATGTAGCATCAACCATGAGTTGGCTAGATTTTATTACATTTGGCAATCCAGTTAATAGCCCCTCAACCTTCATTTGCAATCAGGCAAAGTATGCTCTGAAGGAGGTGGATTTGGACAAGAAAGAGGTTTAAGGGGACCAGTGTGACTGCTTAAAGTCCCTTAATGATCAGTGACCACCCACACCTTTTTAAAGGGGAAATTACAGGTGTAACGTTTGGAAAAGCTATGAAATAGCTGAAGATGATGGTTTATTTTTAAGCCACCATCCTCTTTCTCAGCTAGGATGATGTTATCTAGGTCTCTGTGTGTAAAGCAACAAAGAACCCAGTTTGAATCTGACTGAGAGCCTAACACATAGGACATGTAGTCATGTATTTAAACAAGCATGCCTACTGTCTCCACACCATTTAACCCCCCCCCCAATCATGGGAACTGTAGTTTATCCTTCACAGAGCTATAGTTCACAGCACCCTTAACAAAATCTATTCAGGAGAAAAAGCAGCACGGGCCCCCTTCTGGATTGGAGTTTTGTATCAGTTTTTGTGTGTGTGCTGAAAACTGCTACTTCCTGGCTGCTTACCTCCAAAAGTTCTGTTTATTGCAAACAACACCGTCAGGGGCAAATAGAAGTGGATGCTTTTCAGTAGAAAACCATGAGCCTGGGGCTGCTGCTACCTCAACATAACTAGTTATGTTTATTTAAACATATGTCACATGTAGCTTGGATTGAGACGGAAAGGAGTGTTGTAGTTTAGAGCTCTGGAAGGTACTGTTTGGGGATGCTCTTTGGGTAGTGATGTAAGAGCATGACTGGCTGGGGCAACCCAGCCAGATAGGCAGGTTATAAATAACAAAATTATTATTATTGTTTAGTAAGACTATTATGCTATCTGCCTTCACCCATCTTTAGCTTGCTAATGAACTCACATGTGACAAAAATGCTGTAGGTTTCCAGTGATTTCTCCTTCCAAAGAAATCCAGGCTCAGGTGAGTGCTGCCCTTGGAACTACTTGCCACTTCGTGCCAAACAATACTAATTTATAGGCATCTGTAAGGTTTTACAACAAAGGTAACGTGTGAAGCACTTTGAATGCTCTGAAGTACTAACATGCTATGCATTAATTTCAGGATAATGGCTTAATTTCATTATCACTACACCCTGCGTCGGACCCTGCGTTTCTGAGGATATTCAGTAAACAGGCTGAGAGCCATGGCAGGTGAAGTGAGTATAAAAATATGCTGCTGTGTCGGTATTCTGCCTCCTGGTTACGCCTAAGCTTGAATCCTGCCCCTTTTCTTTTGGGAAGGGGCAGGAGTTCAATATAGCATAAAGAAAGTGATTAACTGAAACTTCTACATATTTATGCAGAAGTAAGTCCCGCTGGGGGGAAAGGAAAGTCCAATGCTGTAAAGAAAAATATTGCATAGGAACCTGGAATGTAAGAACCATGAACCTGGGTAAGTTGGATGTGGTCAAAAATGAGATGGCAAGAATAAATATTGACATCCTGGGCATCAGTGAACTAAAATGGACGGGAATGGGAGAATTCAGTTCGGATGACTATCATATCTACTACTGTGGGCAAGAAACCCATAAAAGAAATGGAGTGGCTCTCATAGTCAACAAAAGAGTGGCAAAAGCTGTACTGGGATACAATCTCAAAAATGATAGAATGATCTCGATACAAATCCAATGCAGACCTTTTAACATCACAGTAATCCAAGTTTATGCACCAACTACTGGTGCTGAAGAAACTGAAATTGACCGATTCTATGAAGACTTACAAGACCTTATAGAAGTGACACCAAAGAAGGATGTTCTTCTCATTATAGGTGATTGGAATGCTAAAGTAGGGAATCAAGAGATAAAAGGAACAACTGGCAAGTTTGGCCTTGGAGATCAAAACGAAGCAGGGCAAAGGCTAATAGAGTTCTGTCAAGAGAACAAGCTGGTCATCACAAACACGCTTTTCCAACAACACAAGAGACGACTCTACACATGGACATCACCAGATGGGCAACATCGAAATCAGATTGATTATATTCTCTGCAGCCAAAGATGGAGAAGCTCTATACAGTCAGCAAAAACAAGACCTGGAGCTGACTGTGGCTCAGATCATCAGCTTCTTATAGCAAAATTCAAGCTTAAACTGAAGAAAGTAGGAAAAACCACTGGGCCGGTAAGATACAATCTAAGTCAAATCCCTTATGAATACACAGTGGAAGTGAGGAACAGGTTTAAGGATTTAGATTTGGTGGACAGAGTGCCTGAAGAACTATGGGTGGAGGCTCGCAGCATTATACAGGAGGCAGCAACGAAAACCATCCCAATGAAAAAGAAATGCAAGAAAGCAAAGTGGCTGTCCAACGAGGCCTTACAAATAGCGGGGGAGAGAAGGCAAACAAAATGCGAGGGAGATAGTGAAAGATACAGGAAATTGAATGCAGATTTCCAAAAAATAGCAAGGAGAGACAAGAAAGCCTTCTTAAATGAGCAATGCAAAGAAATAGAGGAAAACAACAGAATGGGAAGAACCAGAGATCTGTTCAAGAAAATCGGAGATATAAAAGGAACATTTCGTACAAAGATTACTGTAATAAAGGACAAAAGTGGTAAGGACCTAACAGAAGCAGAAGACATCAAGAAGAGGTGGCAAGAATACACAGAGGAACTATACCAGAAAGACATGGATGTCTCGTACACCCCAGGTAGTGTGGTTGCTGACCTTGAGCCAGACATCCTGGAGAGTGAAGTCAAATGGGCCTTAGAAAGCACTGCAAATAACAAGGCCAGTGGAAGTGATGGTATTCCAGCTGAACTATTTAAAATTTTAAAAGATGATGCTGTTAAGGTACTACACTCAATATGCCAGCAAGTTTGGAAAACTCAGCAGTGGCCAGAGGATTGGAAGAGATCAGTCTACATCCCAATCCCAAAGAAGGGCAGTGCCAAAGAATGCTCCAACTACGGCACAATTGCACTCATTTCACACTCTAGCAAGGTTATGCTTAAAATTCTACAAGGCAGGCTCAAGCAGTATGTGGACCGAGAACTCCCAGAAGTGCAAGCTGGATTTAGAAGAGGCAGAGGAACCAGAGACCAAATTGCAAACATGTGCTGGATTATGGAGAAAGCTAGAGAGTTCCAGAAAGACATCTACTTCTGCTTCATTGACTATGCAAAAGCCTTTGACTGTGTCGACCACAGCAAACTATGGCAAGTTCTTAAAGAAATGGGAGTGCCTGATCACCTCATCTGTCTCCTGAGAAATCTCTATGTGGGACAAGAAGCTACAGTTAGAACTGGATATGGAACAACTGATTGGTTCAAAATTGGGAAAGGAGTATGACAAGGCTGTATATTGTCTCCCTGCTTATTTAACTTATATGCAGAATTCATTATGCGAAAGGCTGGGCTGGATGAATCCGAAGCCGGAATTAAGATTGCCGGAAGAAATATCAACAACTTCAGATATGCAGATGATACAACCTTGATGGCAGAAAGTGAGGAGGAATTAAAGAACCTTTTATTGAGGGTGAAAGAGGAGAGCGCAAAATATGGTCTGAAGCTCAACATCAAAAAACGAAGATCATGGCCACTGGTCCCATCACCTCCTGGCAAATAGAAGGGGAAGAAATGGAGGCAGTAAGAGATTTTACTTTCTTGGGCTCCATGATCACTGCAGATGGTGATAGCAGTCACGAAATTAAAAGACGCCTGCTTCTTGGGAAAAAAGCAATGACAAACCTAGACAGCATCCTAAAAAGTAGAGACATCACCTTGCCAACAAAAGTCCGTATAGTAAAAGCTATGATTTTCCCAGTAGTGATGTATGGAAGTGAGAGCTGGACCATAAAGAAGGCTGATCGCCAAAGAATTGATGCTTTTGAATTATGGTGCTGGAGGAGACTCTTGAGAGTCCCATGGACTGCAAGAAGATCAAACCTATCCATTCTTAAGGAAATCAGCCCTGAGTGCTCACTGGAAGGACAGATCGTGAAGTTGAGGCTCCAATACTTTGGTCACCTCATGAGAAGAGAAGACTCCCTGGAAAAGACCCTGATGTTGGGAAAGATGGAGGGCACAAGGAGAAGGGGACGACAGAGGATGAGATGGTTGGATGGTATTCTCGAAGCTACCAGCATGAGTCTGTCCAAACTGCGGGAGGCAGTGGAGGACAGAAGTGCCTGGCGTGCTCTGGTCCATGGGGTCACGAAGAGTTGGACATGACTAAACAACAACAAAAGTCCCGCTGGCTTTTAACAGAACTTACTTTTCCCAAAGGACTTGCGCCCTTAGTCACGAGCTAGAACTTTTCTCAGCAAAAGTTATCCAAAGGTCTGGTGGAAGTAATCCAATATCCTTTCTTCTGCATTTTAGGAGCCCTCAGATTGTAGGAAGTTTTCTGAAAAGGACAATAGATTGATGGGCTCCCAAAGATTCATAGGAGCCAAATAAAATGAGAGGGGTAGGGTCCCCAAAGTTAATGGGCAATACCTTTCAAATAGTGTGTGTGAACCGCGTCATGTGATCAATTCTGCGGGGCGGGGCTTACCTGCCCCTCCCCTCCAATATTGTATTCAAGTTGGCACCTTTGCAAAAACTCTCGGTGGGAGTTAACTTATTTTCCCCTGCCCCAATATTTTCCACCGGGGCACCCACCCATTATGTCCATTAATACCCTCACCTACCTGACAGGGCTGTGGCAAAAAATCGCAAGGCGATGTATGTGGAGCGTTTGAAGGCGCTCTCACAAAGGGGCTGGGGCGACTTAAGAGTTTGGAGTTTCTTAGCTGGGCTGCGAGTTTCCGCTCGCGGCTCGCGCTGTCACCTCTAAGCAGCCTGCTCAAGAGAAGAGCCGGCGCTGGGGAGCAGGAAGTGCTCCCTGTGGAAGGGCCCTGGACGTGCCCAAGCCTGCCGTTTAAAACCTGGCCTTTGAGCGCGCGCTCTCTCTCTCTGGTTGGCAACCAGGATTAATTCACTCGGGCCCGGGCGACGAGAAAGGGGTGTTAAACCCCGGAACTTGGCGCCAAGGCCAGCCCTGAAGGCGAGAGGACAGGCGGGACCCCGCTGCAAAGGTGCATTGGCGCGCTCGGCTCTCTCCTCCCTCCCTCCGCAGTAACCCTAACCAGCTCCCTCCCTCCCAGGAAGTCCTGAACCAGAGGCGTCTTCTGCCTCTTCCCGAAAGCCCCCCCCCCCGCTCGGCCACGTGCGCCAGAGCCCCCTCCTCCCACTCGCCCGGCTTGGGACGGAGGCAAGGCGGCCCGGCTGCCCCCCCCCCCCGTGGGATTGGCCCCGCCTGAGGCCGGCGGGCGGGCTGGAGGCAGGACTGTCCCCGCGCCCAGCCTTCCTCCGCCGCCGCTGCTGCCGCGAGTGCAGCAGAGCCCGGCAGCAGGAGGAGGGCTGGAGGCAGGCAGTGGATTCTGCGGCGACCGGAGAGGTGGGTGAGCGGGGCAGGGCGGGACCCGGGGAGGCTGCCCGAGCAGGTCCCCTTTGGGCGGCCCGGGCGCGGCAGCGGCAGCGCCTGGCACCGCCGGCCCTTGCGCCTGCAGGGAGGAGGGAGAGAGGTTCCTGCGGAACTACTTGTTTACTTAGCAGCCGGGGCGGGAAGGCGCGTCCTGAGGGGGCTGGGGAGGGGCGAGCTGGCTCGGCGCCCCTCGGACGCCCACACTCCTGACCGCTATCCCCATGAACGCGCCTTGTTCTTCTCCACGTTCAGCTCCGCTATAGGACGACCCCCCTCTTCGGAATCGACTGCGGCTTCCCAGTCCCGCTGCCTGCGTTGTGTGGCCGGCCTTTCCCCCTGTCAGGTGCAGCCTGCTTCCACAAACGCATTCTCTTCTCCCCTGCCCTCAAATGCTTCATTTAAAAAAGAAACGAGAAACGAAAGCCGCAGCATTTTCCAGCACTGTCAATGCCCCAAACTTCCCCTGGCCAAATCTGCCTCTGCTCGTTTTCTAAAAGTTTCCCTCTCGATGCCCGCTGCCTTAATAACTTGCTGTCCCCCAGCGCCCTGTGCCTGTTTAACACGAATCTAGCTTTGCAAAGCAAGTCCGCCGAAGTTACAACCTCTCGCCAACTTTTTTGCTCGCCTACTGTACCTGCCTATGCCTGCCTATTTGAAGCGCCTGGTTGCACTGACTGTGGTAGATAAGCGACTCTACAAGCCTTCCTTCTTGCCACAAAGGTATTGCCACACAGCAGTGTATTGTGGACTCCGTGCTGCTGATACATTCAGGTTTTTTTGGTGTGTTTTTTAAAAATGAATAGCATCAATGCTGTCCACATGAAACTGCCATCCCATGTTATTTTCCTGACTAATCAACTATGATGTGTGGATGTTATGAAGTATTTCCATGCTTGAGCAGCACCTTCTTCACAATAAATTCTGCTGGGCAGAAGTGTATGCAATCTTTCTTCTCATACTGTTTCTTTTAAAACAAAACAAAACAAACGCCCCCAAAAAACCCTACTTCCCATACTTGCTCTTCTCCACTTAATGTTCTAAAAAAAAAGCTTAGTGGTACTCTCATTTTCCTACTTGTATTGAAATACTGCCCCTCAATGGGGCCAAACTTAGATTCACAAAATGTTTCGGGGTATGCATACCCCTGCGTCCCCCCAGAAAAAAGCACTGCTTGAACCCATCTGTTAGGAGCAGCTACACATTGATAATGCAAGTTGTACCTATTTACAGCTGTCTGACTGGCAGTAATTCAATGGATGCAGCTTTCTTCACACCTGTAGGGCATGGCTATCTATACCTGTGGAGTTTCTGTGGTGAATGCGGGACACAGTCAGCGGGGGTGGGTGGGTGTGGAGGTGGCAACGCTACTCCCAATTTGTAGGTCAGTTTCGCAGCCTTCTGTGTTTCCAGCACCTTTTGCTAAGCTGCCTGTTTGAATGCTTCCATGTAGGTGTTAAGAGAACACATCACCCGTTACTCTTGCCATTACTGTACAGTCATTTCTCGTTTCCAGCAAAAGTTGCCTTGTGCTCTAGCCCAAGAGCTCTATACTAGACACATTACCCAGAAGAAGCTGTTGTAGAAAGTGCACATGGCCATGCTCGTTTTCAGATTAAACCTTGTGACCTTCATAGTAGTAGGTGTAATTGAGTTGAAAGAAAGCCTTGATTGGGATTTTTCCCCCCACTTGGGTGCAATGATGATTTCCCTCAAGTGCTGAGCTCAACTTTCATAGCTTTGGATGTGTGTTTTTTGAACCATTACAATTTTGGGAACGAATCCATTTCGGGGAAGTTTTTAAATTACCAGTCAATTATTGGTGCCATCTGGCAATTTCCTCCTGTTGCTGCAGCCTCGGGAAAGCGAGAGAAGGCACAGCAGGAATTAAATGTGGTTATACAAGTTAGTACCTGTAGCAGCGCAATTCCACTCTGAACAGTAAATAAGGGAGAATGATATTCTTGCTCTTGCTCTCTGCATTTCCTATGTATTCACTTCTTAATTTCACAGAGGACTCTAATATCCTGTGTCCAGAAGGCTAACATGCTGCCAGAGAAAGACCCTAAAAGGCAAGGGGAGAAGGACCCCCAAGAAGATCCATCAGTCACCCTCTTCCGGGAATATCTGAGAATCAAGACTGTCCAGCCAGAGCCTGATTATGGTATGGAGGGTGTTTTCTTTTTCCTCCTTCATTTTGAAAAGGCGAAGTTCTGCTGCTGTCTACTTGACTGGTGTCACTGCTGGAGCTTTGCAGAAACATTACATAATCAGCAACCAATGGGAGTCCATTCGGAGGCTGGTTACTTTAGCAGCTGGAGGTAATGTTCCTGCATCATTTGCCAGAGTGAACAAAACAAATTGATTTCTAGAGTTCATTTGAAATGGTTTTATCTCACCTGTTCTGGTTAAGATGCACTGAATGCATTTGCAACATACAGCATAATTTAAACAGGAAAAACCATTTAGTTGGAATTATGCATCCCTGGATATATTTACATAGACCTATGATTATCTGTGCTGTGATCATTTGGTCCATATGAATTATTCTGAGTACAGCTTGTAAGTATCTATCTAGCACCACCACCCCATGTTTCATATGTATTATTTTCAATATTTAGCCTTTATAATCACATAGATAAGCCTGACTTCCATTTCCCCTCGACACTTAAACTGTGCTATAAAGAGTGAGGGGAAATATCTTTCCTCTCACTTTATAACATGCATTTCATTGCTTTCTTTTTTAAAACAACATCCCATCAGAGTTTGCCAGGACCTGATTGGTCTGCTTCTATGCCACTGTTTCTCTGGGAAGCTCAGAACAACATTTTAGCCTTATTAAACACACACAAACACACCTGTGAGTAGATATATTTTTGGGACAATTTTTTTTAAAATTGTTAATTAAAATATCCAGATAAGATATGTAAAATTGACAAGAAAATTAACCGTTATAATACAATCTAGTACATTTGCCATCTTTTCAATGCATCATTGCATTTTCTACTTCAGAGTCAGAACATTTCTCTAGCCTCCTTTTCCAACTCAAATCATAACATAAAAATACTTTCAGACAGGGTATCTTGCAATAATGGTAACATGTCCCATGACATTTTCCCGTGGTTTGGTTTGCTGCCCATAGAAGACTAGAATGTAAAGAAAGTGGTTATGGTAGAACCCTTTCCACTGACAAAAAGTTTTATATGTGCAAGCAACATTTTTATATGCTGAAATGTTCAGCCATGTTAGCCTGCCACCATCTTCAGTCTGAGTGATTCAGACCAGACACAAACTTACTATTTCTGAACTAGGCCAGTAAAATTTCCTGAGGACTAGATGCACAAAATTCCATACTACGCTGAAGAACCAGCATAACTTGGTTGGAGACATTCTCAACATTAGGAAAATAGGGAAGCCACAACTGATATGGAGTAGGCTGATGAAAACACAATTCAACACAGTTAAATAAGGCGACAGACAGCCCTGTACTCACTTCTGTGAGAGTAAGTCCCACTGAGGCCAATGGGGCCTGTTTCAGAGTGGAAGGATGCACATAGGATTGAACTATTAACTGCTTAACAGGTTTATGCATGAGTCTCTCTTTGTTGGATTATAGCCTTCTGCCAAAATCCAGAGAACAATTTCAGAAGAACACAAGGTCTTGATTGCACCCAGTCGGACTTGTGCCCTTTCCCCCTTTGAACAGCAAATCACCATACTGTAGCATAAACAACTTTTGACACTTTATTAAGTTTCGGAAATACTTGGCTGGAACTTTTGAAAGCTGGAACTGGAGAAATGCACATCAAAAACCCCAGTGGTCCTCAGTAGGCAGAGGAGCAGAAGAAACTTGCTAGACCAGAATGGAATGTTTCATAAAATACAAGTCACATGGAAGCTCCAGTTTCAGGATGTGTGTGTGTGTGTGTTTAAAATTTCTGTTCTTTGCATGATTCAGTCTATTCCTCAAAAGATTCAAGTCACATTTCCAACCCATGTACGTTGTTTCAGCAGACTTAACCTTCCTACCTTCACCTTCCTAACCATGATTCCTTCCCAGTGCAGATGAGCACAGTATAGGCCAGAGATGAGGAACCTGTGACCCTCCCAGAGATTTTTTTGACTCCAGCTCACATCAGCCCCAGCCGGCAAGGGATGTGGGAGTTGTAATATCTGGATGACCCTAGTTTCCCCATTACTTATATAGAGTGCAAGTTGTGCCTCAGAGGACATCAGATAGGGATGTGATATCCCTTTCTCTTCCTCCACCCCCACTCACGCCTGGTGGACAAATCCCTACATACTGCTTTTTGAATTGCCATTTGAAAGAAATAATGTGTTCCATAGGCTGTCAGATCAGAAAGTAATTTGGAGGGGTTTAATGGTGATATTTTGCACAAAAAGCTACTCAGAAGTGTGAAACAGCAGATGTTAATAGCTTATCTAAGAAACACTTTGCTGCTTTTCGAACTTTGGTGCTGAGTGAAGTCCACATTCCAGAGCTTACTTCAGACAAGTATTGCCCCTCTGTTATTCTGAAGTATTAATGAGTCACAAAGTGAGAGGATTTAAGCCTTGTTTTCATGGCAACAGGAGTAAATCTGTATGCACTGAGCACTCAAGTGAGTTAAGCTGGAAGATAATTTTTTGTCTGTCGTATACATTGGCTCTCATCCACTTCGTTCAGGCAGACATTGAGTTGCAGTCATGTGAACCCTTGTCCTCAGTGTACTCAGCCTAAAGTTGGCAAAGTTAGCCTTTCTAAGTCACCTTGTAACTTAGGCTCCTGTTCCCATATCACATAGTTTGAAGTAAGGCCACTGAAGCCAGCAGGACTACAGTGGTACCTCTGGTTGCGAACATAATTTGTTTCGGAGGTCTGTTCTTAACCTGAAACCATTCTTAACCTGAGGTACCACTTTACCTAATGAGGCCTGCTGTGCCGCCGCTGCACGATTTCTGTTCTCATCCTGAGGTAAAGTTCTTAACCTGAGGTACTACTTCCGGGTTAGCGGAGTCTGTAACCCGAAGTGTTTGTAACCCAAGGTGTTTGTAACCCGAGGTACCACTGTACTCTGGAATGAGTGACTTAAAGGCTGCAGTCCTAGCCTGCCTGGTGCATTTGAATTGCATTACATTGGCCTTTTTGAGCTAGGGTCAAAATTCATATGAGAAGTGAGATTGTGTATTTTAATTGAGAATACATTGTATGGGGGGCACCCTTGCATGTCCACCTACTGCATGGCTGTCATTGGAAAGTTGTTGAAAAGAAAGCCTCTGTGTGGTAGCCCCCTTGCCACCCACGAGCTGGCCTTATGTACCTGCCACATGCTTGCAGCATGTGCTGGATATACCAGAGGGAGAAATGGCTCTTGTGTAATGCACATTGAAAATCAAATCCTAGGCATGGCAGAGGGTACACATGACAGGATTGCTATGGGCAACCTCATTCAGTCTTTTGTTCACACTGTCACCAACTGTGTGTCTGGCTGGTTCTGTGAATAGTCTAAAGAAAACTGGCCAAGTCATTTTGGAAAAAAATAAAAATGATTTTATTATTACAAACCTGCACTGGATTACTATTTGCATTTTACTTATGTCAACTTACTTCAGTTCAAGCAAAGCAATGGATTACTGCTCCACCGCTTTGCCAGAAAGAACACTTATAAGAACTTTTGTAACTAAGAATTATTGTTTTAGCATGCAATCCACACACCCCCCCATCTGCTGCATGTGGTGATGGCGGGGATGGCAGGGGTTTGGATAGATCATTCTTCAAAACAGCTCCTTTGGCCTTTAGCCTGGCCTGGGATCCACTAGATCAGGCATACTGTAGGCAAACTCCAGCCCTCCAAATGTTTGGGACTACAGTTTCCATCATCCCTGACCGCTGGTCCTGTTAGCTAGGGATGATGGGAATTGTAGTCCCAAACATCTGGAGGGCCGGAGTTTGCCTATGCCTGCACTAGATCCTGAGCTACCCACCCACCCACTGCCATCACTTGGTGGCATTAGACTTCTGTTGCTACCTGGCTGGGGTTAGGATTGCTCTTGCGAGTTTGCCTTTTTCCTCCTCCTTAGCAATTCATTTTCCTTCCGTTTTGTGTATTTAAAACTATAAACCTGAGGGTACGGTGCATCTTATTACAGGCTGTTGTAAGCTGATCTAAGATCCTTTTTCAGCCGAAGAATATATTGACAAATACTTTAGGTAAAATGTCACAATCCTTTTTAGCTGTATAGGATATGCAGCCTGGGATGCATCCCACTTTGTGAATGTTAGTGGGAGAAAGAAAAGTGCAAGAGAGCCATAATTAGCTGTTGTGCGTTTTTCACATACAGAAGCAGGAAAAGCCCATTTAAGTGTTGCTTGTGAAAAAGTCTCAGTGGAGAAAGTCTTGGCTTGGGTCCATGAAGAGGGCATCACCTCTTCAATGATGAAACCATTAGGTTCTTACTGGACTATCATTGTTGCACACTTTTGAGCTAGGCAGAATGAAACTGTATGAATTGTTTCCTGTGTCCAAGGAGAGAAGGGCAATAGGAGGACTGCGCCAGAAAACTCCAGCACAAAGCGTTTGCAGGGAGAAAAGATTTGTTGTTGAATTCCCCCCACCCCCACCCTCCCCTGTTTTGCTGGAGGGGCCCTGCAGGGAGAAGAATCCATCAAAGGGGACTTAATAAGGTCTGTTTCCTGTTTGCTTGGCCAAGTAAACTCCTGAGAGGAACCACAGAATGAAAGCAAAAGATTTTTACCCCCCTCCGTTTGTTTTGCCCTACTGGGTCAAGGAGGCCCACATAGAAGGTTCTGAAATAGAGAGGGGCTGCCAGAAGGAGAGGGCTAGCTTTGCAAAAAAAACAACACTTAACGCTCTCTGGACACAGTCAGTAGTATGCAGTGGACCCTGTAGTCCTTCAAAAATTGTACTTTTGATTTAATCTACAAGGAAAATAAGGCAACGCTGCTCCATGCAGGCCTACCATCTTTAGAAAGCTTTAACTTCTCATCATGCCTTGGCTGGTCCCTGTCAAACTGGCTAGTCAACTTGGGGGGGGGGGCACGGAAAATGGATGGATATAAAGTGTGCAATGGGAAGCATTGGAAATTAGCAGCACCTACAAGACTTGAGAACCTTTCCAGGTTAAATGACAAAATATGTCAAAATAACCCTCAGAGCAATATTCAGGCAGAAGAATAGCGGAAGGGGAGGGCAAGACAGGCCTTTTCTTTACTTGACACACTGGGCTTCAGAGGAAAAAAATTAAAAGGTGCAAGCTGCTCTTGTTGCTTCCCCCTTGCCCAACAACTGTGTCCATCTGCAAAAAACCAGTGTGGAGTGAGAGATCAGCCTCTGTCCTGAAGCCTCATCTTCTGCCAATTTCAGGGTTGCATTATTGCCACTGCAATGTAAGAGAGCCTTCCATATAAGCAAATGCTGGAATGACACCCATAAATTCTAAGCTTTTTTTGGGAAATATTCCTTGTACATAGAAATATTAGAGGTTCGAACACCCCTTCCCAGTGATGGGAGAGCATTCCAGCATGTTATCAGAAGGCAAAACAGGGGTTCACAATTTTGGACAAGAAAAAGGAGAATAACTATGATCCAGCTGGCAGAGTGCTGGGTGGACTTCGGAGAACCAGTGTGGCGCCATATTTACCAGATGATTTGATGCTTTCCAAGCATCTTTCCAAATACCTCTTTCTACATCTCTTTACCCTGCCTTTTGACATGAGGTGTATGTTTTTAGGACCATCCTTATGTCTATAATTATAAGTTTTAATATTGTACTATGCTGTGTTTTAATGTAACCCACCTTGGGATGAAGAGCAAGTAATAAATAAGAATATAATACAGTAATGCTTGCTATCATTCGAAACGTTCAATGGAAAATACTTAAGCACTGCTTTAGCTAATATGAAACAGAGGGCTCAAACAAGAGGCCTTTGCGACATTCTGCAAAGAAACATCTAAAAGCCAGGGTATGCAAACAAGATGTATTCCCAAAAATATTTTAAAACCTTGTCCGATGCTTCAACTCCATTTGCTGTCCACCTCTGGGGAAAGGTTCTACTACTCATACTGCATTGGGTACAATGGATGAGCAGCTTTTTGTAGAGGCTACACTGATGATTTGAGTAAGTTTTATTGAATTGCTTCATGTTGTATGCTGCCTTGGTAATTTATGGTTTTATGTATTTATTATTGCATTTCTATGTTGCCTTTCCTCCAAGGAGCTTGAGGAGGTGTGCATGTTTCTTCTTCCTCCCCTTTTATCCTTACAGCAACCCTGTGAGGTAGACTAGGCTGAGAGTGAGTGATTGGCACAAGGTCACCCAGTGAGCTTCATGGCTAAGTGAGGATTTGAACCCTGGTCTCCCAATCTCTGTCCAGCACTCTAACCACTATATCACACTGGCTGTCTCTTAAGGCCAATTCATAAATACTTTTAGTAAATGCATAAGTAAAATAAATGTCATTGACTGAAAGGTGGTTAAAGCGATGTATTTCATTGATATGTGGTTTTTACAGCTGCTTCTCCTCTCTCCTTCCAGACACAGCAGTGAAATTCTTGGAGAGAATAGGCTCTGAACTTGGCCTACAGTGTCAGAAAGTGGAGGTAATTAATGAGAAAGCCATAGCCCTGTCTCAGTTCTGTCAGGATGTCTGATCACCCATCTCCAATTTACTGTTACGTAGTCTCTCAAAGCTTATGACTTGGTAAAGGAGGTGCCATTAATCTCCTGTCATACAGGAAGCTTTGGGCTAAAGTAAATGGTTCCTGGCTCTCAAGAACATTGTTCTGTTTGTTCATTTAAAGTACTTCTAGGCCTCCCTTGACCAAGACACATTTCAGAGCTGGGTACAATGAGCATGAATAAAACTATTCATACCAGATGCAAAACCAACAAAACATCAGTATTAATAACAAGCTAGCAAAATGAGAGGCACAAATAAAACTGTAAAACTATACTGCCTAAAGAATTATAACGCGGAGCTCTAGTTCCACCACCACAGACTCAAATTTGATACAACAACGGTACATGTCTTTTAAATTCCGTCTCATCTGCTTATTCTCTTAACCTCTGCAAGAGGGATATTTCTTATCATTTTTGGATTGTTGCCACTGTCAAACTTCCATCTGTTTTAAGGAATAAGAAGATGGCGTTGGATTCACATGAGCAAAGTGTCCACAAAGCTCCTGTTAGTCATGGGTGAAATGTAGACCACAATTTTAGATTCCGTAGTTGGAATCACTGCATTAAGTTTACAACCCCTTATTATTTCCTTGTGGCCACAGAAATGTGCTCTTTAACACTTCTCCAGAGAAGACTTATTATTGACAGTTTGGGCCTGAGATACAGATAATCAGTCAATCCTAGTGGTGAAATAATGTTGGCATTCCTTATTTGTTAATCGTGTAAATCCTCTCTGCTGCTGGTGATAATGTTTTACACAAATGATCACCGGTTCTATTACAATACTGGTGTCCAATACCAGCACCTAGTACAGAGGCTGGAGTCAGAGCCGCAAATTAATAACCTCAAAATAGTTTCTAGCAGAGGTTCCAAAGAGCCTAGGGCCTTATTCTCCTAATGAATCCTTCCAATGCAAGGATTTCCACTTGCACAATGGGACTTCCCCCCTTTTCCCTCCCTGTGTGTGCCCTGAACCCTCCCCCAAATCTTTTCCAAAGGGTTGGCGGAACCCCTAGAACAGATTTAGGGGGTGTGCAGGGGAAAAAACATTCTGTTGTACAAAGAGAAATCCAGAGTCTCCCCTCCTATCCAGAGTCAGAGGCACTAATGCTTCTGAATATCAGTTGCTGGAAACCATAGGAAGCTCTTGTGCTTGGGTCCTGCTTGCAGGTTTCTCACAGGCATCTGGTTGGCCACTGTGAGAGCAGGATGCTAGACTAGATGCTAGACAAGGAGGCCATGGGGAAGAAGAATTGAGGATCAAGGGAGGACTTGGGATGGAGCCAAATGGGTTTTTTGGCGGGGAAGAGGGAGGAATTCCCGAGATAGAGCTCTTCAGGACCACATGCGTTGGCCTGACTTGAAGGGTGGAATAGAAGCATAATAAATAAATGGTTTCATAGGCAGTCTTGAACAAGTTTTGATTAATTATGCCCCCTTGATTTGTGTGGTTCAAGGTAGTGGTGGTGAGAAATGTCTTCAGATTTATTCTCAGGCAACCTTCTGATTAAGCCACGCTGTGGGAAGCATTCTGATAATGCTGGTGCTCATATTGGCTGTTTTATAATTTGTTGCAGCCCTCGTGCAGCCTATAATCTCTTCATGAGCTGGCTATCCCATTAATCTCTTATTACCATGTTCTCAGGCTATTCTTGAACAGATCCAGCATGACCTTTCCTGCATTAGGGCCTGTATTTAGACTGATTATTGTTACAAATTAATGCCATGCAAAAATGAAAATTTTTATTTTTAAAGGAGTGATTTGTGTTCTTTTCTCTATTCCTATGTATAGTTAAAGGCTAATTCCCCCCCCAAAATGTTAAAATTTAAATGGGTCAGTTTCAAATATTGGAGTTTGCCTCTACCTCAGTCTTTATCATAATAGTCAAGGGTACTTTAAAAGGACTAGCAACCATAAGCTTATATGAATTTCCTAGAGTCCTGTATCTGTTCTGGACTCCGTCTAGTGATCTCTGGAACTTCTCTGTGTTGGAAAGTACTGCATTTTATTATGCCGTTGGAGGACTGCAGGTATGGACCTGGATCTGCAGAAGCAGATTGGGGCTGCCTGATTTCGCCATAAGGAGACACTGTGTTTGCCTGAATTCCGAGGCTCATTTTGATTCAGCCTGTGGCTGTTTCTTTAACTCACAATGAACAGGGTTGTATCCAATGCTGGTCCTACTTAGAGTAGATCCATTGACGTTAATGGACCTGAATGGCTCGGATTTATTAATTCCAGTAGGTCTACTCTGAGTAGAACTTGGTTGGAATACAACCCACACTGTGCTCTGCCTTGCAAACAAGTCTACAGAAACTACTCACCTATAATGCTTCCCTCGCTACCCATTTGCCCCACAAGTGGAAGTTTTAAAATGTTTTTCCTGCCTCGTCACCTCACGGTGACACTTATTTTCCCACAAGTGGCTACTGCAGAGACCTGAATTGGGACAAAGCCACCTTAAGTCTCCAATGCGCTTGCTGTCCATCGAATTCTCCCTTAATTTAAGGGAACAATTTTTCAGAGAAGAAAATAAGACCCTATGGAAACTCAAAAATGACTATAAAGTCCAAGCCACAATAAGGTAGAAGAGTGTGAGCCAGAACAGGGCTGCTTCTCCCTCATCATCATCATCATCCATCAGCCCCTCTTGCTTCCTCTCTGGATTGCACACAGAGAGGTTACTACCTTTAGAAAAACCGTTTCCAAGTACTTGGGAACCATCTGCGGAGCTTTTTGTCCATACTGATCTAGTGACAGGACGAGCAACCCACAACTGACTTGGTGTTCTGTTGCAGGTCTGCCCTGGCCGTGTGATCACCATCCTGACCTGGAAAGGCACAAACCCGCATCTCCGCTCCATACTGCTGAATTCTCATACAGACGTCGTGCCAGTGTTTGAGGTTAGAAGGGGATGCAGGTCTCTGCATCTTGCATGTGATGTTGCTGTTCAGAAAGGGTGTTGGTGGTACAAATGTGCCCCCTCCTTCAGAACCCAGGGAAGCGTGATAATCCTTGCTTGCTTCTTGTTTTGAATATACAGAGGACACAGGTTACGGTGCTCATATTGGTGCAATGCGTTTTCATTCACATCAACACCTGTGTCATCCTGGGGGATTAGTAATACATACTGTAGAGTTCACACTTTCTAGGATTACAACAGTTGAGGGATGAGATGCAAGATACCTTTGAGTAAGCCCTATAATTTAAACTCAAGGAAACTCTTCCCTCTTCGTTATTCTAGTCCCCAGCTTTATACCAGCAGAGTGCCAACTACAGAGAGAAATAAAGAGCTGCAGGCATTTAGATGGTTTCTTTAATACAGTGAAATATTCCTGTTTGCCTTTGTTATATGGAAGTGATTTGGCCCAAAGATAGTACTTGAGTGTCTGACATAATATTTGAGAGTCTGTCCAGACAGGAGTTGAGAAATCAAAGATCTCATATATTTGCTCCTAATATTCAAAATACATAGGATTTCCCCTGTGCTGTAATATCCAGGATGTCACATTTTCAGTGCCTCATGTCCTCCCATCACTCCCATCTTCCTGAGGTGCTCTGTGCTGTTTTCCTTCCCACAGGAATATTGGCGCTATGATCCGTTTTCAGCCTTCAAAGATTCTGAGGGAAACATCTATGCACGTGGAGCCCAAGATATGAAATGTGTTTCTATCCAGTAAGACTATCCATGGTGGGGGAGAGGACACATGACTGAGATTATCTCACCCTATCGTAGTTCACGTAGAGTGATCATTTCAGTTAGTGCACTTTAGTGAGTGCAGAAGTCAGTGGAAAACTTAATCCTGATTGGCCAGTGTGCCTTGGGTTAAATGTTAATGGGTTCAGTGCCCCAAAGGTAAACAGGAATAGATAGACTGCTAATACACACAAATGCTGCCTGAATAGTACGTGGGTGGTTAAATCCTGCAAGTAGCAAAGTTTTGTATAACTTTTGTAGCCATTTTGTTTTTATTTTATTACATTATGTGCTGCTTAATTACATCATAAGCAGTATACAAGTAACTCAACATGATAAAAGTAAAAATAGTCTAAAACCATAAAATCAGAATTCAGTTAAAATACCTGCTTGAATAAAAAAATCTTCAGTAGTCATCGGAAGTCCAACAGGGAGGGGAACCTGTCTGATCTCAACTGGAAGGAAGTTCCATAAAATTAAGCTCACAGTACTGACGCATGGGCATAGACAGGATATTTGCTGCGGGGGGAGGGGGCAGGACTGACGTGATTGGTCAGTTAGTTAAGTATTTCTATTATTTTACTTGATTGTGGGAGGGGGGAGCTGCCCCCTCCTTGGCTACGCCCATGTACTGAATGCACAGCTTCTGGTAGAGACAAACTGCATCTGAGCCATGGGGGATCCCTGATGGTGACTCCCTCAAAGACATCGGTGGTCGGACACGAATCTGTGGAACCAGGCAGTCCTTGAGGTATCCTGGATCCAAGTTGTAAAGGCCTTGTAAATTAATGTAAGAACCTTGAACCTCTCCCAGTAGCATATAGCCAGTCGGTGCAAGCTTTTGAGCATTGGAGTTGTGTGCTGGGTGATAGTCCGTTTGCATCAACACTCTAGCTGCAGTATTTTGCACTAGCTGGAACTTCCAGACCAGGCTCAAGAGTAACCCCACGTAGAGCATATTACCAATGCATGAATTACCGTGGCCAAACTATGAGAATGGCCATAGTTGGCAGACTAGCTGTAGCTGGTAAAAGGCATTCATAGCTACCAAGGCTATCTGAGCCTCCAGCAATAAAGGCAGAACCAGGAGCACCCCCAAATTCTTATTAATGTGTGGTTAATACGAATTACTTGTCTGCCTCTGCCCTGTATGGTATGTCTTAGAAGTCAATGGACTCTGATCCAGGCTTCAGCTAGCTTCCAGTCACCACCCCCCAAAAACCCACCCTCCTTTATCATTCCTGCACCTGTGCATGATCCTGACTGGGTGTAGGCCAAGCATCTCTTGGTTGTCCCAGGGGTATCATCAGCCACTAAATAAGGCTCCTTTCCTTCCAGGTACATAGAGGCCATCCGGAAACTGAAAGCCGAAGGGAGACAGTTCCCACGTACTGTTCATATGAGTTTTGTCCCAGGTGAGTTAACCAAGGGCTTATTCTTTCCCATTTACTTGTATTTCTTGCCCCTAATAGTTTCTCCTCCTTCAATATTTCTCTCAACCCCTTTGAATGAGCTTTAAAAGGGCCAGCCCTCCTCTTTCCTTAGATCTCCCTCCCAAAATACAGTTGAAGTAATAGAAGTTCGTGTCCCTCCCTTCCCCTCTCAGCTTGTAAATTACACCAGGCAAGTCAACCCAACCTTTTAATCCCTGCCATTCAAACCTTCACTGTATTGACTACCCTCAATCCCCTCTCAATAACCATACTCACCCAAAACAAAAGAAAGTAAGTCACCACCATCTCCTTTGGTGGTTGTCTGTTTAAGAGATGCTATAGGAGGCGGCTGAGGGGAACCAGAATTTAATATCTGGTAGTGGCGGCGTTGCTGGGGATCACAAGTGGGGAGAGCGCTGTTGCACTCAAGTCTTGCTTGCTGACTTCCCAGAGGCATCTGGTTGGCCATTGTGAGAATAATGTAAGTGGGCCTGTAGCCTGATCCAGCTGGGCTTTTCTTTACGTGATCTTTGTAGCTGTCCCAAACAAGGTTTTTGCTTCTAGATCCTTTTAATAGACAGCCATTCTTGTTCCATCCTTGGAACACTAGAGGGCACCTGCAGAGGATGCATGTACCGCAACCAAGGATTTTGGGCTTGACTGGATGTAAATGGAAAATCTGTGTTCTCTCCTTATGCCCATTTTGTGGTTAAAACCAATCATGGTGCCTCCCAATTTGGGTTGAGACCATGCCACTGGAGGGGTGGGTGTTTAACCCTTTCCCTTCACACTACTTCCATGACTTAATCATTCCCCCCATCCCCACAAACTGCTGCTGTTAACTGCAGTATAGGTTCATGTCCCCCTCCCTTCTCTGTAACATATAACCACATAGGTTTAATTCAATAAAAATACATCAGAGGCGATCCAAGCACCGTTCTCCCATGGCATGTTTCTTCTGGCCCTCTGTTGCAGCCCAGGTAACCAGATACTGATAACTGCTATTTCTGCAGCCTTTTCAGTATTAGTACAGTCTGCAGTTTCCTGGCTCTCCTGAGCAGACTGACTGGCTCCTGCTACACAGCAGGAAACAATTTGAACATCACAAATCTCTGTGTCATTGCTAAGGTGGATCATCACTGTGAGCTGAATCACCACAAGTGAAATCTCTCCAGGTTCCCATAGGGAACTGTGAGTTGCCATAAGCTCTTGGGCCTGTTTTGACTCTCAAGAGCAGAGAGAGATGTGGTTGGTCTCTGGAGAATGAAAGCAAAGGTGTTTATGTGGCGATTGGTGATTCACTTACCTAGTCTCTTTTCCCTCCCCTGCAGATGAAGAGATCGGGGGCCACAAGGGGATGGAAATGTTTGTGAAGCGTCCTGAGTTTGCAACGCTTAATGTTGGCTTTGCCTTGGATGAAGGTGAGGCTCCCACTAGGGAAGCTATTTTGGACTTGAGTGTATGAGGGAAGCAGCCCGTACATTTTGCTTTACCCTTGCTTCAGTTTATCCTTGGTGATTACCTGGGCACACTTCCTCTCTCATTGCCAGAGAGAGAGAGAGAGAATGAGATTCTGTTAGGTCACAGGCTTGCTGTCAAAAAGGGGCATACAGTGGTGAAGATTCTTTGTTTTACTGGTGCAAGGCTAATGATGAACTCACTTGCATGAGATTAATGAATTCTCAGCCACTTTGCTGACGGTCTGTTTCCTGGTCAAAAGGCGCTTCAGAAAGCCTACTGTGTCTTCTAGCTAAATGTGTTGTTTCCTAATTCCATTCTCTCTCTTCCCCCAGGCCTGGCAAACCCGACAGACACTTTCACTGTATTCTATGGCGAAAAATGTCCGTGGTGTGAGTACAATCCGGGATTCCTTCTATGTTTGTGTGTTTGGATTTTTGTCTCTGTTTGTGGTTCCCTCATGGCTACTTCTGGTCTTACATGATGTTTGCTTGCATTTTCAATACAGATCTTGGGAGAGATAATGTCTTTTGAAAGAAAGAATTTTTGAGCCTCTTTCACAGGGAAGTCACGAATTCTTCTGAGTAGTTTCTGGAGTTTTGCCATACCCATGTCTTCACTGTAAAATAGTCACACATGTAACCCTTCCTAGAGCTTTTGGGGCTTTATGGAGGAGCCAGAGCAGATAATGAGACCAGCATCCTGTTGAAATTGGTTTGGGACTTCATAATTCTTAGCCACAGCTGTTTTTCACTTTCACGGTAGATTCGAATCTGTGGATTTTTAGTCACAGTTAACATCACTGGAATCAACTTGGAATTTTAAGCCTCCTTCCTTGAGTGGTTTTTTAAACCTTGGGATTTTCAGTAACTTGTGAATTCGGATAATTTTGCAGTGAATGTCTGAAAGTCGGCATTCACATGTGAGTGTTAACAGATCGTATAAGTGTGATTGCCAGCATTCCCTGCCTTATATCTGTAAAAGGGAGTGGGGATTCATAGCAAGGTAACAGTATATCCGCCATTTGTTGGATATACGAATGGTAACATTGCCATAAAGCTGATTTACTATAGTTTGCTGCTTTTATTCCCCTTCCTAGATGGCTTTGCCTCACATTTTCTCCCCGTCACCCATGCTTGCTTTCGGGCTCCCTCTCTTTGGGATACTGCCACAGTCCAATGTCTCATCTGCTGTCTTACTGCCATCTCCTTTGCTCTTCCTCAATTTATTCCTATGGTGCTCCAGCCCATCCCTGTTGCCCTCATAGTATGATGCCCACAAATGGAAAGAGTTTTATTGTTCATCCATTGATGCGGACAACTGCTAGAGAGATAATGGAAGAAAATCTTATAGGGTCTACTCCACGATAGTAAAAAAAATCCTACTTTCCCACCACCAAGCATATCCACTCAGTATTACGCAACAGAGCATTTCTGAATAGTGAGGGGCTTTTTACAACTTGGAAACAATTTTTTTCTTGTACCTACTTTTGACATGGATTCAGGTTATATGGAAACTAGGACAGAGGTATGCATCCCACCCTTCCTACTCCATTTGTAGGAATACCAGGGGTCAGCAAACTTTTTCAGCAGGGGGCCGGTCCACTGTCCCTCAGACATTGTGGGGGGCCGGACTATATTTTGGAAAAAAAATAATGAATGAATTCCCATGCCCCACAAATAACCCAGAGATGCATTTTAAATAAAAGCACACATTCTACTCATGTAAAAACATGCTGATTCCCGGACCATCCGCGGGCAGGATTGAGAAGGTGATTGGGCCGGATCCGGCCCCCGGGCCTTAGTTTGCCTATCCGTGGAATAACCTTTCTGTTTGTTCTTTCAAAATTCACTGTAACGCAAAACGTTGCACTACAGTTTGCACGCAGTTTTGTTTTCGTTTGTTTGGGCGCACTACGTTTTAAAAATGGGGCTCTTAAAGTATAGACTATGCCTAAACTAAATATGACATAATAGGCATCACTGAAACCTGGTGGGATAAGTCCCATGATTGGAATGTAATAATGGAGGGATACAATCTATTTCAGAGAAACAGACCAGACAAGAAAGGAAGAGGAGTGGCGTTATATGTCAGGGATGTGTATACCTTTGAAGAGATCCAAGATTTAGAACCTCAAAGCCAAAGTGAGAGCATTTGGGTCAAAATTAAGGGAGAGAAGAATAACAGTGACCTCATTGTGGGGGTTTACTATAGATCCCCAAGCCAAACGGAGGACATAGATGATGCCTTCCTGGAATAGATGGCCAAGCATGCAAAAGGAAGGGAGATAGTAGTAATGGGGGACTTCAATTACCCGGATATTTGTTGGATGTCAAACTCAGCCAAGAGCATAAGGTCAAACAGATTCCTCACTGGCCTTGCAGACAACTTCATTGTCCAGAAAGTGGGAGAAGCAACAAGAGGAACAGCCATTTTAGATCTGGTCCTAACCAATGTTGATGACCTGGTTAGTGGGGTAGAAGTGGAAGGATCATTAGGCGCAAGTGATCACGCTCTTCTGAAGTTTACTATACAGCGGAAAGGAGCAGCCAAGCATACTAGGACTCAATTTCTTGACTTTAAGAAAGCCGACTTCATAAAACTTAGGGAAGTGCTGGGTGAGATCCCATGGACAGTAATACTAAAAGGAAAGGGAGTTCATGATGGCTGGGAGTTTGTTAAGAGGAGATAGTAAAAGCACAACGTCAGGCAATACCAATGAGACGGAAACATGGAAGGTGCCTAAAGAAGCCAGGGTGGCTATCTAAAGAACTTTTAACTGAGTTAAGATTAAAAAGGATGTGTACAAAAATGGAAAAGGGGAAACCACCAAAGAGGAATTCAAACATATAGCCAGCACGTGTAGACTCAAAGTCAGAAAAGCTAAAGCACAGAATTTACTCAGGCGTGCTAGTGATGTTAAAATCAACAAAAAGGCTTTTATGGGTATGTTCGTAGCAAAAGGAAGAACAAAGAAACAGTGGGGTCACTCAGAGGAGAAGATGGTGAAATGCAAACAGGGGACACAGAAAGGGCTGAACTCCTCAATGCCTTCTTTGCCTCAGTCTTCTCCGATAAAGAAAACAATGCCCGACCTGAAGAATTTGGAGCAAATGATTCAGCAAAGGAAACACAGCCCAGAATAACTAAGGAGATAGTACAAGAATACTTGGCTAGTTTAGATGTATTCAAGTCTCCAGGGCCAGATGAACTGCATCCAAGAGTATTAAAAGAACTGGCAGATGTGATCTCAGAACCACTGGCAGTCATCTTTGAGAATTCCTGGAGAACAGGCGAAGTCCCGGCAGACTGGAGGAGGGCAAATGTTGTCCCTATTTTCAAAAAGGGGAAAAGAGAGGACCCAAATAATTACCGCCCAGTCAGTCTGACATCAATACCAGGGAAGATTCTGGAGCAGATCATTAAGCAAACAGTCTGTGAGCACCTAGAAAGGAATGCTGTGATCACCAATAGTCAGAATGGATTTCTGAAAAATAAGTCATGTCAGACTAACCTGATCTCGTTTTATGACAGAATTACAAGCCTGGTAGATGAAGGGAACGCAGTGGATGTAGCCTACCTTGATTTCAGCAAGGCATTTGACAAGGTGCCCCATGATATTCTTGTAAAGAAGCTGGTAAAATGCGGTCTTGACTATGCTACCACTCAGTGGATTTGTAACTGGCTGACTGACCGAACCCAAAGGGTGCTCATCAATGGTTCCTCTTCATCCTGGAGAAGAGTGACTAGTGGGGTGCCACAGGGTTCTGTCTTGGGCCCGGTCTTATTCAACATCTTTATCAACGACTTGGATGATGGACTCAAGGGCATCCTGATCAAATTTGCAGATGACACCAAACTGGGAGGAGTGGCTAACACCCCAGAGGACAGGATCACACTTCAAAACGACCTTGACAGATTAGAGAACTGGGCCAAAACAAACAAGATGAATTTTAACAGGGAGTAATGTAAAGTATTGCACTTGGGCAAAAAAAAATGAGAGGCACAAATACAAGATGGGTGACACCTGGCTTGAGAGCAGTACATGTGAAAAGGATCTAGGAGTCTTGGTTGACCACAAACTTGACATGAGCCAACAGTGTGACGCGGCAGCTAAAAAAGTCAATGCAATTCTGGGCTGCATCAATAGGAGTATAGCATCTAGATCAAGGGAAGTAATAGTGCCACTGTATTCTGCTCTGGTCAGACCTCACCTGGAGTACTGTGTCCAGTTCTGGGCACCACAGTTCAAGAAGGACACTGACAAACTGGAACGTGTCCAGAGGAGGGCAACCAAAATGGTCAAAGGCCTGGAAACAATGCCTTATGAGGAACGGCTAAGGGAGCTGGGCATGTTTAGCCTGGAGAAGAGGAGGTTAAGGGGTGATATGATAGCCATGTTCAAATATATAAAAGGATGTCACATAGAGGAGGGAGAAAGGTTGTTTTCTGCTGCTCCAGAGAAGCGGACACGGAGCAATGGATCCAAACTACAAGAAAGAAGATTCCACCTCAACATTAGGAAGAACTTCCTGACAGTAAGAGCTGTTCGACAGTGGAATTTGCTGCCAAGGAGTGTGGTAGAGTCTCCTTCTTTGGAGGTCTTTAAGCAGAGGCTTGACAACCATATGTCAGGAGTGCTCTGATGGTGTTTCCTGCTTGGCAGGGGGTTGGACTCGATGGCCCTTGTGGTCTCTTCCAACTCTATGATTCTATGCCATTTCCCCATATAAGTTGAGAAAACAGTGTATTCAGTATGGATGCAAATGATGTGTGCAGCTAGGTTGCTGGGGCTTTTGCAGCAACAATTCCTCCTGCTGAAGAAACAAGCCCACTATTCAACTGCAGAAGCCATTTGGCTCTTCAGCCGTGGGGGTCTGTACAACACTCCAATACTATTCTCTCTTCTTTGTGCATGTTGCTCCTTTGGATCATGGCACGCTTCCTCTAAAAGATTTGTTGAATGTGGTTCTCACTGACTGTAGGAGTTGGGCATCAAGGAGTTGCTTTTACTACCTTGCTTACCATTCATGTTTTGTGCTTCCTCTGAATACTTTGCAGGGATTAAAGTGAAGGTAGAAGGGAACCCAGGACATGGATCCAGATTCATTGAGAACACAGCTGCTGAAAAGATGGTAAGAGATTAGGAACAGGGGCGAAGTGGCGTGGGAGGCGAGGCTGCTTTTGTTTGGCAGGGGACAGAATTGTTTGCTTAGCTCTAAAAGCAATGCCTTCAGCCATCCAAGCTGAGGTCTGTTTTCATAGACCTTTCTTTACACAAGCCTTTGAGCCTGCTGCCATCCAGCTGCTGGGCCACCTTGAAAAACATTTGCTCGTTAGAATATGTATCTATGTTTCCATACTGTTGCATTGACTTTTCTGCTTTCTTGCCCATAGCACAGAGTGATTACTTCCTTCCTGGAGTTTAGAGAGCGTGAGAAACAAAGGTGAGGAAGAAAGGAGCCCCTATGGGAAGCTTGACTGCGTTGGGAAGGGGTGCTTCTTCTGACCTTCTCTATGGCTCACTTTTGTTTGCTATTTATTTGGCGACCATTTCTAATGTGCAAAGGCCTTTCAGTCCTTAAGTTTGTCCTCGTAACTGAGATAGAGCCCTCCCTTAGGACTGATGCTAGCATTATTCATTGGGCCACACTGATGCATGACTCGTTGCCATCTGCGTGGGTTGAGCAGCACATTCAGGTTGTCGTAGAGCCCATGAGCAGCAGCCCTGCTGGGAAAAGGCAGAGAAGCTTTATTGCAGGGAGGGGACTGACCCATGGCCCTCCAGATGTTGTTGCACTACAACTTCCACCAGCTCCAACCAGTGTAGCCTGTGGTGAGGGATGATGGGAGTTTTAGGCCAACTACATCTGGAAGAACTCTGGTCCCCTATCCCAGCATTAGTGGCACTCGTTCCTGAGACAAGAGGCTTGCAGTGGAACATGTCTGTGTTTCCAAGACCACTTGTAAGCTGCTTTATGAGTCACCTGTCATTTGAACTCCGCTTCTTATGGGCAGGAATGTTAGCTGCTCTGATGACTGAAAATACTCACTGTTCCTGCCAATACTTGGAACAGTGATTTTAGCCTCCTGTTTCTTCACCCTTGGGACTTAGGGAGCAATTAAGTGCAGAGTTTCAAAGATGTGGGGTGAAAGTCTTTCTCCCTTGTTTCTTGCAGGTTGAAATCAGAGAAGCACCTTACCTTGGGTGACGTCACTTCCCTCAACCTGACCATGCTCAATGGGGGCATCTCCTTCAATGTGGTCCCTTCTGAGATGTCTGCTGCCTTTGATATCCGCATCCCTCCCACAGTAGATTTAAAGGTACAGTATCTGGCTACTGACAGAAAGGAAGGAGGTAGGGAATGGCGACTAATCTTCAGGCTGTGGGGTATTGCCTGGAATATGCTTACTGGGAAATGGCTGGGGAGTGTATGTTTATTCTTCCTGCATTGGACTGTGTCACCTAGAGCTCTCGTTCCTAGGCTTCTTACATTAAAATTGTTTGAGACATCCTATAAAATATTATGAAATCTTATAAATTTTGTTGTCTAGCATTGGTTATCACTGATCACATGAAAGCACCTTGCAACCCTTCCTGGTTATGATTAGGAGAATTGAAGGGGCTGATTTCTTTGTCTGTAAGGTACCTCCAAGAGCCCTGCTGACTCTCCCATTCCACTTTCCCTCCTTGCCCCGAAGGATCGTCTCCAGTTGCAGGACCCGCCTTCAGAGGCTGCAAGAGAGGAGGGAGCCAGCTGGGGAAGCAGTTGAGGGAAGCCTCTGAGGTTTGGCATGGTTCTAAGCCAGCAGGGATCCTTGGATCAGTGGTTAAGCTTAAGGAGCATTTGATTTTTATATTTGTGGGGGTAAGAATGGCAGGAAGGAGTGCAGAGGATTCTGGGATGAGTTAGAAGGACTGTGGGATAAATTGAAATCAGAATCATTCTGACATCAACTAACCCCTTTTACACCCAGCTGAGAACTCTGCAGGAGAGAACCCTCTCCAGATACCGTTTCATCAGGAGGTCCTTTCTGTACAATGTACATTGCCTTTAGTGTGGCAGTACTTACCCTTTGGACCTCCTTCCTGCTACGTACAGATCAGAGAGATTCTATTTTTCCAGCACCTATTGAAGACTGTGCTTTCTTAAACAAGCCTTATAAGTTGGGTTTTTTTAAAAAAAACAACAACAACCTGGTCTGTTATCTGTTATTATATCTGAAATGACTTTTATATGTTTTTACTGTTGATGTTTTTATTGTTAAACAGATTCAAGATGTTTCACAGGAAGCAATTCCTGGATGAAATAAATAACACTCCATGTTGCTTTGTTTCTGCTCCGCAGGCATTTGAGGAGCAGCTCACAGCCTGGTGCCGGGCGGCTGGGGAAGGTGTTAGCTATGAGTTCCACCAGGTAACTGTGGAGACGAGGGAATATTCCAGCAGCCTGTTGCCACCCCCTTAGATCTAGACGCATAGCTCTGTTCCTGGCTTATGGCTACATGGCCGCCTGTGCTGCTGCGGCTGCTGCTGCCACCTCTCTCTCTCCCTCTCTCCTCCATCTCCCTCTTGGGCCTCTCCTCTCTCAATATGGCTGCCCTTCTGTTCTGCCTTGTCTCCCTCAACCTCTCGCACTCCTGCTGCCGCTTCTGCCGAGCCCTTGCCACAAGTCTCCTGCACTGTAGGTGCCCTGTTGCCTCCTCCAAGCTTCACCCTCTACCCTTTTCTTTGGGCTAGAAATACACGGATCAGTCGGTGACCTCCACAGAGGAATCTGACCCCTGGTGGAAGGCGTTCAGTGGCACCTGCAGGGACATGTGAGTAAGACGCCTCATTCCCCCCATTCTCACACTCACTCTTCTGAAGACACCTGTGGAGGCTGGTGGCTGTTTTCACCTGCCAGATGCAGAAGGAACTGTAAACACGACATCATTTTGGAGGGAGGGATGTGTGAGGGGAGGAACCTAACATTCAAGGCATTCAGAAAAAGACTCCCCTAAGGATCAGTATGGAGAACAGGAGAGTGGCCCAGTTATCCTCACCCTTCCCAACGTCTCCCATTCTGTTCATCCGAGGTCCCCTGTGCTCCATTTTTAAAAATTCTCACCATCTGAATCCCGCCTTCAGATAGCTTGGAGCCTCCTTGGCAGGAGAAAGAAAAGCCTAGCTTAGCAATGGGAGCTCCCCGTCATAGTATCTCTGTCTTTGTCAGGAACATGAAGCTGCAATGCGAGATCTTCCCTGCTGCCACAGACAGCCGCTATATCAGAGCGGTGAGTGCAAGTGCATATTTATGTGTGCATTTTTATGTGTGCATTTATCTTGTCAGTTGATTTCTTCCAATACTTTGGTTGAGCTTCTCCTGTCTCCTCTTCTCCCTCCTCTTCCCACTGTGTTGCAGGCAGGACACCCGGCTATCGGCTTCTCCCCAATGAACCGCACCCCTGTGCTGTTGCATGATCACAACGAGTTCCTAAATGAGCAGGTCTTCCTTCGCGGGATTGAGATCTACGCCCATCTCATCTCTGCACTGGCCAGTGTCCTTCCCCTGCAAGCAGAGGCCTGAATAGGGGCAGGCAGAGCAGAAGGCAGCAGTCCGAGGGAGAGAGAAACCAAAGAAAGAGAGAAAGAGAAGCTGAAAACCTGCACTGCTTCCTATTTTGAGACGGGACCCTGCTAGAGGGGACGTAGGCCTTAGATGTTTTGATTGAGGGCTAGGGCTTGCTGAGATCACAACCAAAGCAGACTGTTGCATTCCAGCATCCCTGAGTGGTACACAAGGGGGGCAAAGCATGTTGGAAGCAGAAATGTACACTTGCACCAGTACATATAAAGTGGGGCTCTGTAGGCATTGGCAGCTGTTTCTCTGCTCCTTACCAAAGCACTTACAGTCAAGACCCTTGTTTGCACAGTTCCTGCATCAGGTCCCAGAGCTCCAGCTCTTTATCATCACCAGCTACCCATGCTGCGTTTTAAAGGATAATCCTCAAGCACCAGGTTTGTAGGACTGAGGTTCTCACCACTGAGGTTTCTTGGGTTTTGTGGCAGATGTTATTGCCTTGTCACTGGCTCCTTTCACCGCCTTCTTCCCTTAACACCAATGCTGCACCCTTCTGCCGTGTGATTCCCTTCTCCACATACCAAACCCAAGGCCAAAGCAACCGGAAAAGCAGGGTAAGTCCTAAGCTGCAGGATTAATCAAGCTCCCCCCTGGTTCCTTCTTCCCTTTTGTAGGTTGATGCTCTTGACACCTAGCTGGTTTTTCTCTGCTAGAAGGCATGCCTAGTTTTCAAAGATCCAGCAATCTCAAATTTTCAGTGGGAGTCCAGGCACCATGGAAAAGCCTCGGTTTTACCTCCATTGTATGCTGTATGGTGTTGGGCAAATCTACACACTCTGTGCCCCTCACTTGTAGAGGGGCATGAAATGTTGCCACGGGCACTTTGCCACATGAGATCTTCCTACAGAACTTGGTGAAGATGAAGGAAAAGGCAGGTTTGCTGAGGGAGATAGTAATTAATATTGCCTTACTTGGAACCTGCCTTCCCCACACACCAAAGTAGGATTGGCGTGGGGATGGGTGTCTCTCTGGATATTCACTCTTTGGGACTTAACAGCAGAGGGGCTGGCTGCAGCATGGTGCCTTAATTTTCTGTTGAACTGTAACGAGTTACTGCTGACACTTGCCATTCCCATGCAGGTAAGAGTTGGGTGAACAAGATTCAGCCATAAAGGACAGCCATCTCCTCCCCGCCCCAGAACGCTCCAAGGGAACAACACTACTTTATGATGCTTTTAGCAAAACTTGCCCTTGCTTGGAAAGATCGTTTTTCACATTATGCTACAATATAATTCCTCATCCTCAGGTTTACATGATATTTGATAACATCATCTGGAATTGCCAGCAAATTCCCTAGAAACTATTCTCACAGTCGCTGACATTGTAGATAAACATGTACTTAAGTAATGAGGAATACCTGCCCCTTCATCTCCCTGTTACCAGCATGCGGCTTGAGCAATAGATTGGATAACGGCATGTTGCTTTAATTTGACATATGTCCTTGCTAGTATCAGTATAATATCACCCACTGAAGTATAATGAGGAAGAAAATCGGCTTCACTTTAAGTTTCGTATCCCAAAATTCCCCGATGCCAGAGTAGGCCTATAAACCAGGATACTTTTAAAAAGCCTAAAGCAAAACAAAAAACCCGCAAGATGCTTGTTTTACAACTCAATCCTAAGCATGTTTGGCAATAACTCCCACTGTTTTCAGTGAGGCTTACTCTTTGGTAAGTGTTCACAAGATTGCTGCCTTGGACTAAGAGTTGAATGGCTACCTTTATGAATGGCAATATGAGAAGTTAATGAATGACTACAAGGGAGAGGGATACATAATGTAAATATTGTGATACGACCCTCCTCTTGGCAACTGGAAACTATACATCTGCATTGGTAAACCTATGTTTCTAGAGCTGCCTTGATGTTCATCCCCATAACATCACATCTTTATGGAGGTATATTGTCCCTCCTCTCAAATAAGTTTAGTGAAGAAGAAGAAAAAAACAGCAAGTGGTAGTTTGAATCCCAAAGGGGTGTTGCCTCTGGGATTCAAGGTGCCACATCCCCTCCCAAGTAAATGTATTTGACAATTTTAAGCACTGCTTCTTTGTGGAGCGAAAAGCCTTAATAGTGGCACAGACTGCATAGTCAGCAATGCCTGCATTGCACAGGAGGAGGAGCCTTCCACACCTGCAATGTTTTTGCTCTCATTTGAGAAAGAGGTACACCCCCCTCAGTCATCCTGGGAAAAGTGCAGGGAGCATGGAGCTCCCTGCATTGCACAAGCTGCTTCCTCTGATGGGGAAAGGGAGGCGCTGCTTGCAAGATGGAGCATCCCTGCACTCCTCCCTCTCTTAGGTTAGCAAGTAAGGTATATGGAACCTGGCAGTACAGCATATATAGTATGTCACATTGAATAATGCTTAACTTGAAAGTGCGCAATCAACCAGTAAGTTCTCCTCTGCAAGTGCCATTAAACTTCTTGGTGGTTTGTGCTGATTGTGTCTACATCTCCCTATCACCTCGTAAGCACACCTTTTCACAGGTAGAAACCCTAAATGTGCATAGCTTCCACCATAAGATGCATATTGCAGCATATATATTTTTATTCACATTGAGAAGATTAAGTACTGCAGGCCAACAAAAAAGTGTAAAGGTGTGTAAGGCATGAATATGGAGATAATTAACATGATCATTGAATGCTGAGAGTTGTTCTATATTCCCCTGCGGATTATGTCTGAGGGCTTATTTGCGGTTTTGAGGATTTGACACCTGGCCCTCTGTAGTCTTAAATTATCTAATCTGCTTGCTGGCGAAATGAAAATAATAACAAGCTTGTTCCGATTTAGAAACGTTAGAAAACTTCAAATTTGCTTACAATATTCCATGTCAAAAGGACAGAAATATACAAACATGATTTTAAAACAAAAATAGGATGAAGGTATTAAAATATATTCAGATTTCAAAAACTCAAAATGTGTTCAGTTTTGTTGATGTGATAAAATATTCCTTGAGGAGGCTGTGGGACCATAACTTCTTTGTTTTCCACCAGATGGCGCCCTACACCTGACTATCCTGGCAAAGGCTGATTCCCACTTTACAAGGCACAATCTGCATTGTAGTGTTTGCTGCAGTTTGGTGCAGAAAGGGGCAATGCAAATCCCTAAGTACTTGGCTGCTGGCTGCTGCTGTTTTATCCATTTCTTTTTGGTTTCAGGAATCACGTTGGCAAACATGCTCAAAGAAGAGAGTTTTTAGAGTACGTCACAAGTTTCAAAGCACAGATAGCATTTATCCAGCAATTTTGAATGAATGTGAAATGACCGAACTGATTAGTAGTGTGCTTACTAATTAAGGAGGAGGTTGAGGAAGAAAGGGATGCACCCATGGCAGTTATAAAGCCCTTCTCTGTGCTACAAATATGTAAGGGGTGTGGGGGAAGGCCAGAGGATTATCTGCTATGCTTCCCACTTTTCTGCTGAGAAGCCCATGCAGGGACTATGCAGCCTGCTGGACTAGAGGATTGGTTTGGTTATTCCTGTGTTTGCAAAACAAACAAGCAGAAAACCCTAACAGCCTGTCCTTGAATGGACATCAGTGGCCCAAAAATGGATGGGGGGAGGGGAAGAGGAAATACCTTTCATCTGAAATGTTCACATTGTGAGATAGTCGTGACATAAAAGAGTGTGCTGAATTGGTAACAAAAATTGGTTCCAAAAAAGGAAAAAAGCTGCCAGTGGCTGGTACACAGCAGAGTATGCCCTGTGTCCTGCCGCATCTGTATTAGGAACCTGGAAAGGGATGTGAAGGTTGGCAGAAGCATTAAGCACTGGTCCCTCTAAAGCAAACTGGAAAGAACTTCAGCAAAGATGTCGCAAGGCTGAAAGAAGCAGGCAGTGGACATTTCACATTGGTCACTTCGGTAGCAGTGGGGAGAATCCAACTACGATTATATCAGGGGGGTGGAATACTTCTCGCTATACACGTACAATATTCTTGAGATCTGAATTAGTTGAAAACACTTGGAGGAAGGGGGAAAGATCCTGGAATAACTGTGGTCAGCTTGTGGGAAACATCCACTCAATTTGCTGCAGCTGTCAAAAAAGCAAAACCAAATGTTGGGAGACCACTAGGGAGGGCTTGGTGGAGAACCACAGTACTCTTGTGCTGTTGCTCTGCGCTGTGTTACAATTCCTCTGATCTACGCATCTGGTACTGGCTAAAGAAACAACTGTGTCTTAGGGAGACGGCTGGTTTGACTCGGTAATGGTGTTCTTGTATATTCATTTGAATCTGCTTCTCCATACACTGTACAGGTAGACAGGGCATGCTCAGAACCCAATAATATCTGGTGGGGGATGTTGTTCAAAGAATATGAAACACAGGTGTGATCAAAGCCTCCTGGAATAGACACAGCCCAGTCACATCTGGGATTTGACCTGGATCAAGTTGGGCCCCAAAGCTTGTATGTCACGCTGGACATTTTCTCCCGCCGGATAAATCAAGCCAGGTGTGGAGTGGCATAATTCTGACTTGCACTCCTTACGCCACAGTGCAAACATCCACATGGTGCAATGAGATGTTTGGGGAAGGGCATCACATGGGAACAGCATGGTTTCCCTCTTTGGAGGGAAAGTTGTTTCCACAACAGCCTGTTGAGGTTGCGTGCAAATATTTGCAGAAGCCCCCTTACTCTGCCGCCCTGCTGTCTCCTCTCCACTCAAAACACAACAGCAAGCGGAATAACTTAAAGGCAGCCGTCAAAATTGAAATCAGATGAAATGCAAAAATATTATGCTTTGGGTCTGAACTTTCCCTCTCCTCACAAATGAGATCCACGTCTCCCAAGGCAGGGGCTCTCTCTTGGGGGCCCCAAACCTGCTCAACCTGATAGAAAATGATGAGTGAGCAATTGCGATGACAGGCACAATGGGGTGAGATGGATTAGCAGTGGGGCAGGTCTCAATAGTTCAGTTTCTTGAAGTCAAGATCTTAACCCCTTAAGGGGATGGCACAGGGTCTATCTCCAGTCTGTTTCTTCCTATGCCAAAGATGCAGTTGGCCAACTAATCCCATTGCCTGCTTATTGCTGGGTCTTAGGAGGCAAAATGAGAGATTTCCAGGGGGAATTCGCCAGAACTCAATTCAGGCACCTTTCAGGTGGGAGCCATTGCCATTCTAAAAGAAGGAGGCATTCATGGTGAGTTCTGGTACCTCTTTCCCCAGAAAAATAGCACTGGAGATGAGGATTCTGGATTAGTCCAGTCTCAAAAGAAGCCTATCCTAACTGAAAAGTTTAGTGTTTCAGCTTCCTTTTTTCACATTGGCAAATCTGTTATGGAATATTAATATAGAAGAATGCTATAATTTGAAGTTGAGCCAGTGGTGCAATTCTCAGGGCCAAAAGCAACCATTAATTTGATTAATAGATTTATATTTTGTGACATAGTGGTATCCAGTGAATACTGACAAAGGAAATTATTTTCATTCAGCAGTTTAAAAATGGCACCTGCGTCCGGAGTTACTGGGAACTGGATAAATAAAACTGGATACAACCATATTTACTAAGGAATAAGCTGCACCAAAACCTTGGCACTGACTTCTGTGCAAACAAGCATAGGATCATATTGCATATGATTAGTTAAAAGCAAGTCAGTTTACCAGCTTAAAACACCACCATTTTGTCTTTCTCAGATTAAAGATGTTCATTTATATTTGTTACATATATTAGTTCCAGGCATGGCAGAAGGAGGGTACCAGATGTACTTATGGCAGCATGCATGGGAGTGGGGACTGAATCCAGCTCAGTCTCTACAGCCCACTTTTGACATGTGAGTGAGGCTGCCTACCTGTCTATCACCTGGTGTCATACGAGGTCAGGTGATACTTCCTCTGCAACCCTGGTTTGAATCCAAGCTGTGTCTGCAAAGATTCCTGCTGAACGTTGGGCTTGCATTGATTGATTGATTGATTGATTGATTGATTGATTGATTTAGCACCAAATACAAGCTCCGCTTTCAAGAGGGATTGACTCCACTGGTGAACTTGGCTTGGGAGCCTCCAGCTGGAGCTGATCCCAGTGGGATTTGCAGTTGGAGTTGGATTTAAGCAGCACCAAATGAAGCCTCGTTGCCAAAGGAACAATCGATGCACCTGTGCAGTCCCAGTGGTTCCTTGGCAGATGCAGCTTTACCTCTCCTGAACCTGATTAGTCAGGTCATGTCAGGTAAGTGAGAGGTGGGTGTGACCAGCTGAAAATAGCTGCACGGCATGCATAGAGTGGCGGCTTGCAAGCTTCAATTGCAATCTACTTAACCACCTATCCTGCTTCTCAACTAGTTGTTGGCTCTTCTCCAAGCATGACTGGCTAGCTGACTTCTAAGGAGCCCAGAGAAAAACGCAAATGTGTCTGTTTTTCAAGGGAACAGGGCAGTATTCAAGCCCTGTGGGTTGGGGGCAAACATTATCCCATTTGCCCTGAAATTAGTGAGGTTTTTTTAGCCATAAAAAGCCAGAGACGTTTTTGAAAATACAGCATTAACTACAATGCCTCTAGCTTCTCCTGTTTCATTTGGTGACCAACACTACAATAATAAACAACTTTTTGAATTGCAGCAAGTACATTCATTCCATGTAATTTATGGTGACTGCATGGATGCTAAGGAAGTCAGGCCCTTACACCTTTAATAGTTTGTAAAAGTGGAAATTTCAGCTGGTGCAGTGTTTCTTCCCCCACCCCTTGCCTGATAAAATTCCCTCTTCTATGCAGTGATTAAAAGTACAAGGACCCTTTTCATCTGGTCTACCTAGCGGTGATTGCTGAGCCCTTTTTCATCCCCACCTCGCTTCCAGAAGTGTGTGTGAAAATGGAAGGTAATCTCACATTACATTTAATACTAAATGCCTCATTGTTGCATATGAGGATTTGTTTGTTTATACTGCTGTTCTGTGCTCTCTTGCCTCATTATAGTGTTACGACTCATCCCTGTTCTTTCACTGTACTTAACCACAGACTGCTCTGTTTAAGCTTCCCTGTAGTGAATATAAGCCTCAATGATTGACCAGTTCAGACCTTATTTCTTCAGCCTATTGAAATAAGGCCTCTGGGCAATAGTTCTGAATGCAAGAGCTTCTAGTGTGGCTTAGCCATCTCTTTGGTATATATTTTGCATATTAGCTTGTTTTTGGATCACAGCTGAGTATAAGGCTGATGATTGGGAGCAGGAAACATTTTGAAATATTTCATTGATTCAGCAGGGAAGAGAAACCTGAAGAAAGTTGGGGGTAGGAACCAGCTGGCTGCCAGATGACTTTACCACCAAAGCCACAGGGCCCTGCCTCTGGAATTACTAGCCAAATAAACCTCTGGCTTAGAGCATTGGTGATTAGCTAGGCCTAGCATTGAGAAAGAGTTGTTGAGCAGTGAAAAGGGCATTCACCAAGAATAACAATTTACCAACTGGGAAGCTAACCTCTCCTAGCTAAAACTAACCGTGAGGGATTCCATGCTGTGAAGGTGGCAACTAGATTAATCATGTAGATAATGGTTGTGTGTAGTTAACCTGAAGCGTATGTAACCCAAGGTACCACTGACTGCTCTCCAACAGTACCATCTAGCTGGTTCAAGAGGCCAGGGCCGGCCCAAGACATTTTGGCACCTGAGGTGAACCACCAAATGGTGTGCCCCCCCTCCCTGCAAGTGAATACGGGTTGAGTTAAGATCTACATCGGAAACAAGGACTGGGGAATAAAGATCTACATTGGGATGTGCTGCCTCTGTGGATCCTGCCCCCTGAGGCAGTTGCCTTATTTGGCCTCATGGGTGGGCTGGCCTGCAGGAGGCCATACCCTTCTTACTTGCTCCATGTCCCACTGCAGTACATTGCTGCTCCTTTCCACCACCTGAGCTCTGACTGATCTGGCTGCTGGATTTGAATGAGGAGACTGACTGACTGATGAGAGTGTTGAAACGCTGA